AATATATATATATATTATGTACGATAACGCTTGTCTCATATAAATTTGATAATGAATAAAATGTTTGATTAATTCTGACTAAATTTTTGACTGAGTTTGCAATTTCACATTGTAATTTTTACTCTTCTGTAATCCAGTTTCAATCCATACCAGAACTCGACGGACTATGGAAAGACGAATAAGATAGTTGTTCAAACAATTCATTTATATTTAAATTAGTAAAAATTACAACTCTGCAGACAACACCTTACAGTAACATATTAAATCTCTACACCTCCCCATACCCATCCCCCTGCAGTTCCTTGAGTATTGAAACCCTTTACCACAACCACCAATATGGTCGCAGTACAAAGAATTAGATTAATTCAAACCTAATACATATACGTAATAAAACCAACCGCGTCTATTTTTGGGTTCGCACTCTGACTCGCTCGTAGGACATAAAAAATCACTGCACGAAAACACGTACATTTATCGGTACGACACACCAGCACCTTGCACGAGGAAGATTTTCATTACTGCTTGTCTGCCTGTTCGATGACTGTAAACTATTATTGAACTAGTCGGCCAGCATCAGATATATCATGAAATAATGGATCATGCCACTGCAATGATTAGGACATAAAAGCAAGTATATGACGTAAAAAATGGTGATATGGTTTATGATAGATTTATATATAAATATATATAACAGTATATATTTTAATTACGAGGAATGAGCATCAGTAGTTGTTATTCGCTCCTGGTAATATCAAGAGCTATAATACATTATGATTAGCTGTATGATTAATTTTGGCTCTTGATAATATCCATATCATAATGAAAACTCTGACGATGACTTTCGTGCGAGGATTTCATTTGTGCGCGTCAAACTAAACCACGTCAGTCTTCTGTAATGGCAGTAATTAATTCAGACGCGCAATTCACTCGCCACCACGAGTCCGCGCGTGGTTTATGAATACATTCTAGATCAGCGTGAGGCGTGCCACCGATCACGCGCGAGGTAGTAAGTTAACATGGCGTGGTGCACAGCGATTATATATTAAAGTATTGTATAGCAACCAGATCTAGACTAACGGAAACAACAAACTCGCATATGAAATTGGCGTCTGCATCGCGTGGTCCGCGCCCCTGATCCCTCATCAACGCTGACATTATATATACGTTGACACCGACAGTCTCACATAAAAAATCTTTATAAAAAAAAGCGTAGAAAAATCTCGCTAGATTTTCAACAAAATTCACAAGCAACGAAATAGAAACACAATCACCGGTCGGCCCGCAGTAACAGACATTAATAACGGTGGTCTATCAAGCGGGCAGGCCAGAGAACGAACAAGAAAACACGTCGTCATTGGCGTCCTCAGTGCAACCTGCACACAAGGGTCACCTCCGGGAATCCCCAGACTTAAAAGATTTGTGTCTTTTCTATACAGGTGGTTTCACCGTATAGCTATGACTCGATAGAAGCACCAAGCGTCCTTTATGAAGAGGTGGTCGTTCTATACAGGCGGTTTCACCGTATAACTACTGCAACTTGACAGAAGCAGAGCGTCCTTTATAGACAGGTGGTCGTCCTACAGAGGTGTCTGCCGTCGCCGGATTGACTGTGTTCGCCGTTCACACCGCACGAGGCAATCATCCCAGATTACCAGCCCGTCCCCGAGTGTGCGTGCGTGAGAGCGTGTGCGTGCGTTCGCATGTTGCAGGTGCACGCTGTGAAGAGCAGCGGGACACGAGACGTTGTCGCTTGTAGCAAGGTTGTCGCACACCAGCGAGCGCATCTTCAATGCAAATATTTCGCCTTCATGCGGAAGTACTCCGTTAATCGGATGATGCCGTACCTGAGATCTCTCTCTCTCCCTTTCACATGCTCTCTTTCTCTCTCACGCTGTCTTACGCTGTCTCTCTCTTCCTCTCCTGCTCTCTCTCTCTCTTTCTCATGCTCTCTCTCATGCTATCTCACACTGTCTATCTCTTTCTCTCTCTCGCTCTCTCTCTCTCTCTCTCTCTCTCTCTCTCTTTCTTTCTCTCCCTCTCTCTCATGCTCTCTCTCGCTCTCTCCCTCTGTCTCTCCCTGCTTCCCTCTCCCCGCCTCTCCTGTCTCACCCTGTCCCTCTCTCAGTCCCCGCTTGCCCGTGATATATATCAGGGGGCATCATATCATATATATATATATATATATATATATATATATATACCCAGTCTATGCGATTGTGCGATACACCTGTGTGGCTTTGTATTATAGGTGCGTTACTTCTGGAGGCAGCAGCCAGCAAGAGTGCGACTAACTCCGACGTACTAACAGCTCAGAGGTGACGAATAATTTCTAAAAAAATAGCCTAAAGTACTATTTCCAAAAGTAAACAATACCAAATGTTTGACGATTGACCAAATATGAGTTATTGCAAGTTTAGCATGCCTACTTCCTTAATTTATACGCACTCAAATGGGAAAATGTACGATCTGCATTTTTTGTGATAAAAAAAATTGCCCAAGGGTACCAAAGTGGCACCCGGTGGATTCTGGTTCAGGATAGTCTAAAGATCAGGAAATCACAAAAAAACCTTGTATATACCCGATTGCAACGTTCATTCATTTGGCAACCGGACAATATTAAACGGATGCAGACGACGTTTTCGCACTGCTGCCATCTGGTTGCAATCTCAAGCGATTGTGCACGCAGAGCAGGTGACAATGGTAACAGACTATCCCCCCGGGAGGCGGGGAAGGTGGGAGGGGGGACTGCAAGACAGATCATGACCGCACGCAACATCCCTTGTTACCATCTTACGCATGGTGGATTCTCGCAGCTAATAGCTGGCGACACAGACATTTTTGGGACATGTTTGCAGACACGTGTGGGGACACGTTTTGGGACATGTATGGGGACACGTTGGGTGCTTATGCTAAGTCTTTTTTAAACACCTAACTAGTGACTCTGACGTTCTGGCGTCGTGTTTTGTATTAGAGAGAGAGAGAGAGAGAGAGAGAGAGAGAGAGAGAGAGAGAGAGAGAGAGAGAGGAGACGAGAGTAGAGAGGATAAGAGCGAGAGAGAGAGCAGAAGAGAGAGCAAGCTCACTCGTGACGGAAGACCTGGGTTTTGAAGAGATTCAGGTCACGGTTAGTTTCGTGTGTATCTCACGGCGTGTGCTAGATAGACAATACTCTGTTCTTACACTGCTGCTGCGATGTGTTTTACAGGCGGCTCACTTACACCTGGACCACGTGTGGCCTTCATGTCCAGGCAAGTATCAATTCCAAGATGACTCGACGTCTATTTGAGTAAAGTATCACATATAGAGTATGGAGGTACTAGCTGGATGTGCCCGTGTTTTACACGCACTTTCATTGGTTCACGTAGATATAACTCGCAGAGTGCTTGTGTAGTGGGATTCGAGGCAGTTGGACGCTAAATAAAAATGTAATCGGGTGAAGACGTCTGTGACTTGTAACGTCTTTCATTCCTGCAGATGCGTTGGAGTAGTAGAATGTGTTCATAACCGTGTAATAACCACTTATATACTCACGTGTGTGTGTTCCTGGTTTTGTGTATGTGTTTTTTATGGCAATGCAAGCATGCTGTGCGTGCGTCGCGCGAATATGGTAAGAATGTACACTAATATCTGTTGGTAATGCCCACTTGTATAGTGTTATTTACAGTTGATTTTATGCTGCAGTTATAATGTGTGTTGTGTGTGCCGTGGCGTGCGTGTGTGGCATGCGTGCATGTGTGTGTGTGCTGGTGTGTGTATGTTGGCGTGCCTTGCATTCGTGCGTGCCGTGCGTGCGCACAGCGTGTGTGTGCCAGCATCATGTATGTGTGTGTGTGCGCGCGTGGTAGCCGCCGCGCGCGCCCAGTGGCGGTGGCCGGTGGGCAATTTCTGCATTACACGCGCGCGGTGCGTCGTGGTATACATCTACGTAATGTCCATTGCATAGTATGTACGCATTTCCCACTAATGTACATGTTATAGGATTGTTACCATTTCTCGTAGGTACGGCATCATCCGATAACGGAGTATGTCCGGCTATGAAAGGCGAAATATTTGCATTGAAGATGCGCTCGCCGGTGTGCGACAACGCTCGCTACAAGCGACCAACGGCTTCGTGTCCCGCTGCTCTGCACAGTGCACGCTGGCGAACATTGCGAACGCCACGCACACGCTCTCGACGCACCGCACAACTCGAGGACGGGCTGGTAATCTGGGATGAATTGCCTCGTGCCGGTGTGAACAGGGGTAGCTGCTAACTGGCGAACAGCAGTCAATCCGCGACGGCATGACACCTCTGTAGGAGCGACGCACCCTGTCTATAAAGGACGCTCTGCTTTTCTGTCAAGTTGCAGTAGTTATACCGGTGAAACGCGCCTGTATAGAAACGACTACCCTCTTTATAAAGGACGCGCTTGGTGGCTTACTATCGAAGTCATCGACTATAACGGTGAAACCACCGCCCACTGCGTGTATAGAAAAGACCACAAATCTTTTTAAGTGCTGGGGATTCCGAGGCTGACCCTTGTGGTGCAGGTTTGCACTGAGGAACGGCCAATGACGACGTGTTTTCTTGTTCGTTCTCCTGGTCCTGCCGCGCTTGATAACGAGCACCGTTATTAATGTCTGTTACTTGAGCGGGCCGACGCGGGTGATTGTGTTTCTATTTCGTTGGGCTTGTGAATTTTGTTGAC